CCATTAAGTCTGCTATGTTGAACCGCCATGTTTCTACAGTAGCCCAGAACGGACAAACCAAACACTGGCTTTAAATAGGGCCTTTAGCGAGTTTCACTTCCACAGTAGTTTCTATACACGCTTGGAAGGCTGAGCTGTATTCAAATGGTTGCAATATGCAACTGCTAGTTGCCACTAAATGAAGAAGCTTTTCTAAAATACAACACAAAAAATTATGTGATATTATGGACAAACTGTGGACAACACAAGTAGCAGCTGGCATTTCAAGAAATAAACTAGTTTGAACAGTTCATGAAGCCTGTATTCCCTCTCTTTTTTCAAAAGCATATAATATAAAACTTGTAAAAGTATATTTTTGTAGCAGTTGTATTGTGGACCTGCCACCCACAATGGCTCTATACCTCTGTCTTTTTGTTTGCCTAGCTCACCTTTCTGTTTTCTCTTTATAATAACTGCTTTACTTTTTCCCTTCTGTGTCTCTTTAAATGTTACTATGAGTGAGTGTGAGGTGGTATGGAGTTGCTGGTTATGATGTCTGCTTAAAGATCTATGGTTCTTCCCTCCAGCACATCCATATGCAGACACAACGGCACTGAGAGATAAATTATTCAAAGATGGTTCCTATTCCTATCCCTCATCCCAACCCCCCACCCCGTGCAGGTCCTTTTTCAGGTCCTAGCTTTTGAAACACTGGCTTCGGTCAATGATGGATGGAGCCTTAACAGTCCAGGCTGGGGGTAGGGTGTGACAAATGCCTCCAGCACAGCCTGTTGATGGGACTACATTAGCCAAAGTTGAACTGGAGTGAATTAGAGGAGAGGAGCCATGCGTGTCTGCGCATCTCTCTGTATAACCACGACAAACAAGGTCCAACACACAGCCTCAGCACAAAGAGGAGATTGATGGACCATCATCGTCAGTTTATGTACCCAGTGACCCACTACACTTCACGTGACTTTGTCATTAAGTGTTAAGCATTCTCAGAAATTTACTTCAAAGAATCTGAAGAATTAAAATCACAACCGTTGATAGATTTTTATAAGTAGTTGTGCAGGATTCTTGGTTTATCATGTCTGGTGAAAAGATTTCCCTGTAGTCTTTGTGGGGAAGGAGCAGCAGGGAAAAACCAGGATGGGGGGGTAAATGCAGCTGTTAGAGTACAGATTCTCGGATTAAAAAGGTCTGATCGCAGCATGCTTTAGACTTCCTGTTTCACTTTTGATCTCTGTCTCTCAGGAAGCAGAGGAGTATGCAGAGCTGCCCGTCAGACACAACGAAGACCAGCTGAACAGCCAGCTGGCTCAGCAGCTCCCCCTGCAGGTCAACCCCCACTCCTACGACAGTGCCCACACCAAGACTCACCTGCTGCTGCAGGCCCACTTCAGCCACGCCCAGCTGCCATGCAGCGACTACAACACCGATACCAAGACAGTGCTGGACAACACTATCCGAATCTGTCAGGTACGATTCACTGGGTAGCTGCTACCAATTACTAATGTCATTCATGAATCTTAGTTACCACTTTATCAAAACAAGACAACAATCGATCATGATTCAGGCTTTAAGAACATTTGTACAAGAGTGGTGGATAAAAAAAGGTAGTTTCAGGGGGTAGGTGTACCATTTTCCACTATCACGCTTTATCCACACCATGGAGTGCCATGAGCATTTGTCCTGCGCCTTGGCAGGAGGGAATACCTGTGTTGATGATACTTTGATTTTGCCTGTGAGCAAGTGCATGTGAGAGAATGCAACTGTTGTGTTAAGATATTCAGAGATCCTTGCAAATCAGTATGGCAATATGAAAATGTTTTATTGATTTCTGTGTTCTGCAATCCAGGTTGGTAAAATACCTGCATATGGTGCAATGTACAAAACATTCACATAGCAGGCTTCTGGCTTTTAGCCAGCTGAACGGCACTATCTGCAGTTAAAATAACAATCTTTACTGGGTTAACGCCATTGTATAAAGTTAAATTTTTTTGTCTCTTTTAAATGTGTTTTTGGTAAATTTTTTTATTGATCATGCAGTATAACTACCAAATGAAACTGAAATGGAACCAATGCTGATTTTCCCTCATATCCTTCATACTTTCGATGTAAAATGGGTCTTAAATTGCATTCATATTGCTCTTAAAATAGTCTTAGAATGTCTCAAATTTTTGCCGTTGAAATCATAGATCGTGACATCATAGGTTTAGGACAACATAGGTTTCTGAAGAGCTGTTGTGAAGCTCAGTGTGGTCGGTTCTGGACGCTCCCAGCTAATCCAAAATAGGGCAAAGAGGTGGAGCTGAGGCGGGCTGAATGAAGTCTATCACTCAAAGCGGCCACACCCTTAATTAATACAAAACTTTAAGCCTTAAAATAATTTAAAAAGGTGCATTATATAAAAATTCACCCCCTGTAAAGTTGTCATGAATGGGGAAATTAGCTATAGAGACCAAAAGTGTTCTTGGTACCAGGCTGTACACTTTTTTTGTACACAATTTCTGCTGTAAAGTTGTGCATTTTAATATGGGGCCTTATGGAGATTGACTCAACTGCTGGAGCCGCCTCAAGGGCCTGTTAGAGGAACTGCAGTTTGCAGAAACCCTGCGTGTGTGTTTTTACAGTTTAAAAACCAGACACAGGGATGAGTCAAAAAATCTCCCAGTCAAACTGTCATTTGTATCGAATCAAGAATTTGCTGCTGTGGCTCAGAGGAAGAGCGGGTCATCCACTAAATCGGAAGGTTGTTGGTTCGATCCCCGGCTCCTCCCTGCCACATGTTGAAGTGTCCTTGAGCAAGATACTGAACCCAAATTGCCTCCTGATGCTGCGTCATCACTGAGTGAATGTGTGTGAAAGGCAAATGTGGCAGCGTAAGTGTAAAAGTGCTTTGAGTAGTTGGAAGACTAGAAAGGAGCTATACAAGTACAGTCCATTCGCCATTCACCATTTACCATAATTTAGGCTTATGAACTTGATAGTTCTGAGTCTGTACTTTGAGTATTTAAAGCAACTAAGCAAGCTATATTGTTATTTTAGTGTGTCAGATCAATATTTAATGATTTTGATTAGACTGTTTAGATTAGTTTTGATTCTTAATAATGGTAATAATGGTATTATGTAATAATGGCAGTTGATTAATGTACTGCACATGAAAAGAGAGCACATCTTGGGACATGGTGCTGTAGATGCAGCAGAGAACAAGGGGAATGTTAAACATTAGTTGGTGATTTGTAGTTGAACTTGCTGATCTATCTCATAAATAACATGATGCTCCGAGGTTAGATCTAACACCCGGGCTTCTTCTCATTGTCTGGCAGCCACAATGAGTCTGCTACTCAGTGTTCATATGGAAAGTGGCTGGAGACAGGGTTTTGAACAACAGAGTGCTCAGCACCAAGTTATCAGAGTCAGTATCATTGATAACAACCCCATAACTTTATCGATCAAAGACTGACACAGCTTGTTTTGCATTTTAGGTGTGATGTGCTGGCTGGTGCTCATTCAGTTTCTTTGTATGTACTGTTTGAAGTTAGGACCATGTCTTAACGTCTGTAAGCCATTGTCCACAGCTCGGGATGGGTGTTTGTGTGTGTGCATATGTACATGTGCTTGTGATTTTCCATGCTGTGTATCTGGCAGTGATATTGCATGGCTCATGGATGTGGTTACTTCTCTGGTGTCCTGCTGCTACCGTTTACTGAAATGGTTTTGGTCTTTAGTTCCTTTATGGTTGTTTTTATTGAATGAATGTATAATTTTATTGCTGTATACATAAAGTGAATGCAAAAGACTGTGAATGTCCCTGAACAACATTTTAATTGACAGGATCCGATTCATGTAACAGTCTCTCTTTTTTCAAATGGATACTTCCGATAAGTCAATGAGCCATGTCACAAAGTACTCTCTCGAGCTGAGTCCCAGGATAAGTTTAGAGCACGAATGTGTGGCTGAAAAATCAGCATAACTGTATCATGCTATTCACTGAGTACAGACCTATTCACAAGGATGTATAATGGCAATAAAGCCAGAATAAACAATCTTTAAAAAAAGCATGCTAATATTTAGGTTCTATGCTTTTAAAACACGGTTATTTCAGAGTTCTTTCCTTTTGTAGTCAAATAGCTTCCCACTTATCCTTTCAAATGTCTCATCTCTGGACATTGATTCCTTTTGATGTGAGTTAACATGTGATTTTCATCATTTCAATCTGTTGCTGTTTTGAGGCATATTCTGTCATCAATTTGCTCAAGCAGCTACTGTGAAATGTAAATCACTCTTAATTTGTATCGCATTAGCATTTCAATTTCCTTCGCTAGGCCTCGTCTGTGCACCCAGTCGTTTTTAGCCATAGTTACACTCTGGAAATGACTTTTGGATTAATGAAGTTTGTTGGAGAGCAGCTATGTTCAGCAACCTCAAGCCTCACAGAGGGCTGAAGGGAGAATCACAGGGCACGCAAGAAATGAAGCTGAGGGCTGGCTACAAAATGTCATGTTCTGTATTTTAGTGTGCCCTCTGCTTCTTTGTGTCACCTGTCTTATTCTCTTTTCTTGTTTCATTAAATGGTATATCAGACCCCTGAAGGCAAAAGTTTAAAGTTGTAACTCTCAAGTGTTACTGACGTGATAAAAACTAAACCAATTGACCTGCCATTCAGTCACTTTTTGGTTTGTGATCTGATCCACTTAGTTTCCTACTTTCTCTCTTGAAAACTGCATCATATGGCCATTGTCACCTTTTTTTTAATTAACTTTAGTTAATGTCTGTATGCAAAGTTGTTCACAGGTTAATTAACATAGAATATTCGTCAATATTCACATAAAACAAGTACTTTCTAGTATTCAAAGTGATATTTCTATTGCACTGATTGTCACTAATTATTGCGTGCCATGGTGTTTTGAAATATTGTGGGTTATTAATTGTTGTGTTATGAAGTCATTATATATAGTTTACTTACTATGAAGTTAGTAAGGAGAGTACGCAGTTAATAGTGCTCCTCTCTCAATAAAGCTGCACAGCTTGCCCCAACCGTAGTGCTCTATTTGACAAAGACAATATGGATGCCTGGAGAATCATATAATACAGGAAATTAAAACCTAGCACAAACATATAGTATTTATATCCATACAGAAACAGTCATTATTGCGTGTGAGTTGTTGTCCTGCTGCGTGCTCTACCCAGGCGCTACCCCTCTTTGTCTTGACATTGTCCAGAGAAATGAGAAAAATACGCACTCTAAAGGGGGTGATGAGGAAGGGATGCAAAGGAAGCAGTTCGCTACAGTTGCCAGCTGCAGATAACAGTCTGCATTTCATCTCCACCACCCAAGAGGACCGGGATCAGGTGGTGATGAAATGCAGACCTGCATTTTATTTATTTGGTTGTTTTTTTTTTTATAAAAAGAAGCATTCCAATAATGATTTAGATTCCCATTGATTCTGTTCCGCCCTACTTCAAGTGAAGACTCTTAAATGATTGTTTCTGCCTTAGTGAGTTAGGAGACTTCAGGTCTACCCTTAACTTTAGACTCTTAGGTCCAGTCCACACTGCTTGCATCTGCAGTGCGTGGAAGAATGTCATGCTTTTTATTTGTGTTGCCTGGAGACTAGAAGTAGACTAGAAGTACAACTAAAAATATAGGGCTGGCAGCAGCAGCTCGGCAGCAGAATCGCTCTCTGTGTGGTCACCTTAGGTGTGTGAGCTGCAGCGGTTCAGCAAGGCAGCCATCAAACAATACTCGTGCATCCTATGTGGACCAACTATTAGGGTTTGCTCACACCAGCATTTATAACAGTGACATTTCTGACTGAAATCAATTCATTTCATTGTGAATTATCTCAAAGAAGGACGTAATTTTATGTTTTTTGAACTTTGGTGGGCTCTGATGTAAAAATTTTACAGTAAGTAAGTAAGTAAAGTTTA